TTATGATCATTATGATCATTATTAACTTTTTTATGATACGTTTTAAGGTTTATCTTATATTCAAAAAATATAAAAAAATATTTAAATTCATCATTGTTTTTAAACTTCTTTCTATATTGATATTCGAAAAAAATTGTAACATGTGCATCACATGCTCATTATGTGGAAAAACATTTTTTTTAACTTATTTTCTATCGAAAAAAATAACGAAGAATATGTAAATTATCATTTTTTAATCTTTACCCATATTTATATTTGATTTTTTTTTGAAGATCACATAAAATGTGAACTATATGCACATAAGTAAAAAAAACGTTTGTTTTAATTTTTTTTTTTTTTTCAAAAAATCACCTTTTATAATAGTATCCTAACTTATTAAGATGTTTTTCATTTGTACATTAATGTGCAAATATACAATATGTGCAAATATACAATATGCATATATGCATATTTACATTTAGTATATATGTACATATATGCACATTTTTCTAACTTTTTAGTGATATATTTTTTTAAATCTCTTAATTTGTCTAAGATATTAATATAGAAGGTGTTTCGTTGAATTTTTTATCAATAAAATGAGTTTTTTTTACGAAAAATATGCGTATCGTGAACATTTTTTATAGATTTTTTTCAAATATTAATATGGAAAGAGGTTGAAAAATGATGAAATTATATATTTTTAGATATTTTTTCATTGAAGATAAGCTCTAAAATGAGAGTTAAAAAAATGATCCTAAAAAATTAATGTCGTATTTGAACTTATATATATATATATATATATATATATATATATATATATATATATATATAGATTCAGGTTCATTTGAGACCATTTTAATTTTGTGAGACCGTGAGACCAAATCTAAAAATAATTTTAAAATGCAAAATAAATGGAAAAATCCAAAAATTCTTTTTTTAAATATTATTTTCCGAACTTGAATTAACTAAAAAAAATAAATAAATATAAAAAAAATAAAAAAAATTTCGTTTCTTTTTTTTGAAAAATACGTGAAATATTCTAAATAGAATATTAAACTGACATATTCTAAAAAATAATTTTAAAATGTAAAATAAATGGAAAAATCTAAAAGTTCTTTTTTTAAATATTATTTTCGGAACTTGAATTAACTAAAAAAAATTAAAAAAATTTTTTTTAAAAAATCTTTTTTTTTTTTAAAATACGTGAAATATTCTAAATAGAATATTACACTGTATATATTCTAAAAATAATTTTAAAATGCAAAATAAATAGAAAAATCAAAAAAAATCTTTTTTTAAATATTATTTTCGAAACATGAATTAACTAAAAAAAATAAAAAATAAAAAAATACGTCTCACAGTCTCGCAAAATATAGGTGGTCTAAAATGAACCTAACCCTATATATATATATATATATATATATATATATATATATATATATATATATATATATATATATATATATATATATTGTAAGAATGGTCCCTGTGGTATGTCTAAAATTGCTACTTTAGGCCAAACAGGTTTGGACTAGCAGCAATAATCGAAAAGTTTTCATTTTGCTGCGGTTTTGGTCCAAAACAGTCTAAAAATTCTAAAAATGATGGGTTTGCCCTTTTCTATTTGTTTTTTTCTTTTCTATTTGTTATTTAATTATTTGATAACTAAAAAAATAAAAAATAAAATAAAATAAAATAAAATCTCTCTCTCTCTCTCTCTCTCTCTCTCTCTCTCTCTCTCTCTCTCTCTCTCTCTCTTTCTCTCCATTTGGGTTTATATATCAAGAACATATTCATAATCTTAAGAACACTCAAGAACATCTTAATGAACTCAAGAACATCTTCTAACACTACCACCGTTTGCCACCACAACAGCCTGCCACCACCGCCGTATGTCAGCTCCATCTCCACCTAAATTGTTTCTACTACTTCATATCCATCTAAAAAACATCCTAAAAACAAAAACCATACACAAAAACAAAAGAAATACACTCATAAAACCATACACAAACACACTCACAACCCTACACCACCCAATGTCACCTTCAATCACCCAAGACCTCCCTTATCCCTCCATTACCACCATCCCTAACAACAAGAAATGTAAAAGAGAGAGAGAGAGAGAGAGAGAGAGAGAGAGAGATAAAATAAGGGGTTGCCATCAATTCAGAAAGTAGAAAAATGAGAGCTATCATCGAGTATAGAAGAAGGAGAAAGAGGGTACCACTTTGGGTGCCTGTGTTTGTCAAATGGATTATGAGAATTGAAGGGGGGGTCTGATTTCTAATTTGATACTACCGTTCAGTTCATTGGCGAAGAAAGAAAGCTGTCGAACACCACCTATGCAGCCCCTCTCCGCCTCCCTTTCGGTCGTGTAGCACCAGCAAACACCTATCCCTTCACCTACCATCACATCGTTCGTAAGCGCCTCCTCCAGACATTATTCCTCTGCTACCTGGTCTATTTTGATTCTTCATAAGTTGCTGTTACAGAGAGGTGATTCGAGGATCTTCACAAATTAGGGTTTCAACCGCCACCCTTCTAGTTTCTAGGGTTTTAGACGTCGTTTAGGGTTTTAGAAGAAAATCTCACGACGAACAGATCTGGGTTGTGACATCCCCAATTTCACGGGTAAAAAAAACCGATTTGTTTATGTTTTGTTTTTAAAATCAGAGTAATCTTTTAAAGAAAACAGTTGCGGAATTTGTTCCCAAAACAAAATATGATAAAAATTATCAAAGCATTTCTTTAAATAAAGGTATTTTCATTATATAACAAAATATCGGGATCTCATGTTCAATACAAACCAAAAGCATAAACAGAACAAAATAGACCTTACAACAGTTATTCATAACTATTGGCCTATAATCCAAAATCTCTCGTCAAGTCCACCAACTTATACTCTTGTGCCATTACCTGTAATGCAAAGAAAACTGAGTGGGTCGGGCTTAGGAGCCTGGTGAGCATATAGGGTTTTCAACCCACAATAATATAATTATTTTATTTAATTATCAAACAATCAATTAAAATACCCACCCCCATTATCTCCATTTATTTCTTAAAGATTTATCCTAAGAACCAATTACCCTTCTCCCATTCATTCCTAAGGATTGCCCTAAGGAACTGGCACAATGTCTAGTGCTGCCAAGGTTCTTAGATTTCCTCCGGTGAACATGCAATTCACAATAATTAATGAACACCTAGTTCAAGAACAACTAATGAACACTTAGTTCCAATATTACCCAATGAACACCTAGTTCACAAAAACTTAATGAACACTTAGTTCAATTATCCTTGATGAACACTAAGTTCAAATATCTAATGAACACTTAGTTCGAATATCCCTGGTGAACCTAATCACCTAAGGAACACAGAGAATGAAAGCTCTTAGTTCAAACAACGTGATAATAAAGTATATCTCGATCCTGCAAAATGACTAATATTATAAACACATATAAATTATATTTCTAAAACAATATATCCCATCCCGTCGATCCCCACATACTGACCCTATACTATGATCTTACGAGATCTTGCCTAAGGAATCGATATGAACAACAAACTGACGAAGCTGCTTCGGAAATTCCCTGGCAGCAAATGAGGATCAATAAAGACATCAAATGAGGGGAATGGAATAAGTTTCACCACGAACCTTCGTTCGTAAAAGAAAGAACCACAAGACATTTTAAGTCAGGGGTAGTTATCTAGATAACAATGCCTAGGTGTGGTACAACTATCATGAGGTATTATACCCCCGGACTCTACCTATCCCAGCATCGAACTTTGCCTAGTAGTGGCCTGAATACATGAGGTATTTAACCCCCAGACGCACCCTATCCAGCAATATAACACCAAACATACCTAGCAGTGGTCTATTACCGACACACTTTACTAGGAAGTCTACAAAGTTCCCTTAATTACTTCGTGAAAGAAAACGCTGACATATGAAGCTCGGTCGATCACTTCATAAAACAAAACACTGACTCCAAAGCTCTCTCAAAATAAAAGTATGGGGAAATACTACTAGAGTACTCCCGTACACTCCCGTAACCGACACACAAAATTGTCAAAAAGACTTTGTACATGATAGTACTTCCGGCACATTATAGTACTCTGGTATGCGAAAGAATCGTACCCGAGAACATAATAGTACCCTGGCACAAGCAGCACCCAAGACACAGAGCTTTGAAAAAGACTTCGTACATAAAATGTATTTCTGTACGTAGGACGTACTCCACCGATGATCAATCTCACAACACACGTACTCTTAATAAGAGGCTACCCAATGTCCAAACTTAATTGAACTAAACATACCTATTTAAGCCTTAACCCATCACTAGGAAAGACTACAACGCTTATAATCAATTTTCGATATTAACTCCGTTTAGGAAATGCTAACTAGTGTATACTTAACACAGAGTTTTAAGTAATAGTATCATATATTCACATCTTAACACATATTGAACCATAACTGATTCGCACATTGTATATTATCAAATATATCTAACCCATATTTTGGAAAATAACAAATACTTTACAACTGGACTCCTGACTGTTAAGAAACTTTTTCTTTTTTCGATTTTGAGTTCTTTTTAGAAGAGAGAAAGAGTAGAAACAAAGGGTACGCTCTCTAGAAGATTTGCTCGGAGCTGTTCACTTTCACTCGGTCGACTGGTATCTTGAAACCTCTTCGCTTGCGGGGGCAGGAGGCATGCTGATCCGCGATTACTAGCGATTCCAACTTCATGTTCCCGAGTTGCAGAGAACAATCCAAACTGAGGCAATCTTTCCGGATTCGCTCCGCCTTACAGCCTTGCTTCCCATTGTAATTGCCATTGTAGCACGTGTGTGGCCCAGCCCATAAAGGCCATGCGGACTTGACGTCATCCCCACCTTCCTCCAGTATATCACTGGCAGTCCTTCATGAGTGCGGCACGCACCTTTTTGTTTGTTTCGGAGCCGTTTTGGCGGGGCGTACTAAACCCACTACGTACCACACCACCGGGCGGCTCGCCTGAATGCCCAGTCTTTCTTTGACTCTATATATGTGGGCACCTGATATCTATGAGGGTTCACCCACCCCGGTTACAACATTCCTTTCTATTGCGCCTAAAATCTCTATTTCTGCTAATATTTCACGTCTTTCTATTTATGGTTCTTATGGAGCTACATTGCAACAAATCTTCTTTTTCTGCAGCATTGCTTCTATGATCTTAGGAGCGATGGCCGCCATGGCCCAAACGAAAGTAAAAAGACTTCTAGCTCATAGTTCAATTGGACGTGTAGGTTATATTCGTACTGGTTTCTCATGTGGAACCATAGAAGGAATTCAATCACTACTAATTGGTATCTTTATTTATGCATCAATGACGATACAAGCAGACCTTCAAAGGACTTCGGCTAACCTGTGAATGAAAGCGAGAGGCACAGGCAGAAGTCAAGACCTCGGTCTTTCGCAAACCTATCCTATTCGCATTCCCTTCCCAGTCCACTTCATTCAAGAAAGTGGATTTTTACCTAATACCTTCAATCCTGCCAAATTCCACACTTTCAAAAGTCAAAGTCCATTCTGTAAAGACTTACAAGATAGGCATCGGACTCTAAGTCCAACTAGATTTTGGAAATCAATTTACTAATCGCAGTTTCAATTGACAAGATGCTTTTGCTCACTCTCAGTCAAACTGAATTCAGTCAATCTCACTACGAATCTACAGAAGTCAGGCAGTTGATTGCCTTCGACCATACCGATTGAATTCCCCACTTTCTAATGCAATAGAATTGAGAACTCAAAGTACATTCCTATCCCTTAAGTTCCCTATTGAGTACCGATACCGCAAGAAATCCTTCTTTTGAAACCATCCCGCTAGTCAATCCTGCCATACTGTATTTGTACAATACCATATACGATTGAATTCCTTATCTCACTACGGAATATACCCAATTGAGTACCAAAGGAGAGAGCTTGCCTTTAGTTTTCTGAAGTGTGGGGCAAACGGCGCCCCCTACTTCTACTTCTAACTAAAGGCGAAGAGCCGGCATTGCAAGCAAATAGAGAGCCTCCGCCCGTTTGATCGGTTGCGAGCCGGAAAGCGTACCGGCAGTTTGAGTCGCGAAAGGGCCGCTTGCTTCACTTCATTTTTCTAGATATTATTCTATATAATAATATATTCAATTCTATATCTATCTATAAACAAAAAATAGATATAGAATCTTTTTCTTTTTCCAATTGTTAATTCCTGGGGAGAGGAAGAAGCAGATAGAGCAAAGGCCTCCTCTTTCCGTTCGCTCTTCCCGAAGTGAGCGAATTGCATGTAGAGATCCGTAGGGGCTTATAGTTTAATTGGTTGAAACGTACCGCTCATAACGGTGATATTGTAGGTTCGAGCCCTACTAAGCCTACCTTTTCACCTCCGGTGGCTTCTCTTCACCTGCAGCCCGGAGTGGTATTAATATCACCTTCAGGCCAGGCCCCACAAGCTGCTAAAAGATTGAAGTTTCAAACCTGGCGGTATCACCGTTTAGGAAAAACTGCTTTCGTGCGGTCTCTTTCTTTTTCGGATGAAGGTGAGTGGCAAAGTCTGGTTCAACTAAGGAGTAGGTCGTCCTATCTGATAGAGCGGGTAATGCTCAAATTATTTTTTTTCGTATTTGGGGTTGACGCCGAGAAAGACTAAAGACGGGAGAGCACGCACAGACATCCTCGGGAAAGCACTAATGAACTACGCCATCCCTGACACTTATGCGGTGAGATACCAACCATCCGATATCGCCCACAAAGCTAAGAGGCCACTGGCACCGAATAATACCCATAAAGAACGCTAACCGCCACCGGCATCTGATGCCATCCAATAAGGGAGAACTCTTTCGGCAAAGAATTTGACCAAAAAGCCCGATTCGAATCATTATGCTCGATAAAAGGAAAAAGGGAAGCTCAAATAGAAAACAGCACTACTGCTAGTAAGATAGCGATCCAGGCAAGCGCCAAAGAAAGAAGGGGGCACAAGCAAGCGCAAGAATCAAAGCAGGGCAGGATCGAAGAGCTTAGACAGCAAGCAAGCGAGAAGGAATCCCTCAAAGGCACTGAGGCAAGGTCTTTCCGATGCGCGCTAAGACAACCACTCATGTCTACTTCTAATGCGCACGAACCAGAGCTCTCTCCCGGGAACCCCTTCCCTAGTAAAGAGGTACTGACCATCGGTTCTATCGTGCCCCAGTTAACGAGAGCCTCGGATAGACTAAGGATCTTAGGTGAGACCTAGAGTGCAACCAACTAAACGCCAAAGAAATCGGAAGAAAACTTCCACATCTGAGATTCCATGTGTGACTAACTCAATTGAGAAATGCCCCTCTTGTATGCTAACGTTCTAGGATGGCAGGGTTGGTAAAACTCTCCTTGATAAATAGAGTATGGAGAGCTCGGGTGGGGCATCAACCACTGGTTGCGGGCCTGTCGAGATGCTTCCTTGCAGAACCCGGTTGTAACTCAATAGAGTGAGTAGGAAACCTTGTAAAGGCAAGCAGGAGAATATAGATCGGTCTGTCTTGTCTTAGACTAGCCCTACTCCATCTTGGCTATCTTGAGCTTATTCATAAGCTTTTCATTTTCTGCTTACTACTAGGGCTTCCAAATTACTACGCCGGGTCTCATAGCCCCTGTGACCTTCACTTCACAGCCTGATTAATGAACTTGAAAAGTGCACTTCTATAAACAACTTCCAGAGAGAAGCGAACAAGGTCTTCGTCCACCGCGACCATCCTCCAGGAGTGCGAGACAACCGGACCGCTAAACAGTTCCTCGAGGGTAACCCAAGGGGAAAGTGCGGTAAGGTGATACCATTTAAGGTAGTTTAACCACTGGCGCATCCATCCATAAAGGAGAGAGTACTCCAGGAAATATCTAGATTCCTCAGTCTCGAACAGCTCATCGGGGGCAATATCAGCTCCCGGGGCTTAAGTTTGGCTCGAAGGAGTCTCACCAAACGCCCATGAGCTTCTGGACTGAGTGGTCGTCCCTTACCCAACCAGAAATCAAGCGGGTAAGAAGAAGAGAGAAATTTTATCCCCATAACCACAAGATGGGAATACCGCCTCGGGCGCCTATGGTCTAGCCTTGCAAGAACACGATATCCAGCTCCACCCAGCCTACAAAGCAAACGGAAATCACGCACCGAATAACGATAGATAAGACGGGGTTGTCTCTGTTACAATTAGTCCTGACTTTCCTGAAAGCTTAGTGAGGAAAATCCTCGACAGAGAGGAAGTTTTTCTTTTCATGAGAGTGACCTTTCAAAGAGACTTTTTGCGATAAGGCCCTTCTTAAAGGGATGGCTCACTCTCCTTTAAAGGTGTCCCTGCTGCACTCTAAGGATGGCATATGATTAACTAGCGCAGGAGAGAGAGTGAGCGAGGAAATGCCATCGCGAACGGTTAAGAATCCTCTTTGTATGCGCGTTCTCTCTTGTTTATTCTTCTAGTTTTTCCTTCTTATGCTTATGGGTGAGACTCCCTTTCTTCTTAGGTTGTCTGTAAGTCTAGTTCGTGGTTCACGGGTGAGGTTACCTGGATAGGTGGGCAGTTCCTATCGGTGGAGCTAAGACACCTTCGAGAGATATAGCTCTAGCTCTTGATGGCACGGGCAAGACAGTTCATGAATGAATGGCGAGTTTTCTATTTACTAGAATATCTTTCCTGCGAAGGAAGCTTCTTTTTAGAATTTCTTGCGTAAAGAAATTGAATCAACGGCATCGAATGCAAGCTTTGATAAAGTTTGATTCTTCTTTATGGACTACAACGACCTAAAGTAGCTAAATAAGTAGTGAAAGTAAGCTCCTGGCTAAACTGAGTCTTGGTTCTACCCACCGGCAAGAATTTTTCGACCTGATTAAATGATTGTAGATTGGCTATTTCGGGGTTCCATGCCCATGGATTGCCTTATTATAGCTTTTTTGATTCGTCGGGTATGTCGGCTAAGAGAATCGCTTCTCGCCTTGCTTGCAAGAGTATAAGCAAGCCGTAGTATTTTGACCCAGATAGAACTCTTTCAATTCATGAGAGAAAGTGCTTTAGTAGCGATTTCCCTGTTCTAGTGCAAGACGCAAGGAGAAGCACGAGCGGAGCGGTCTGGCTAAACGTGCAATGCCCCGTAGGGAGATCTAGCTTATTGGTCTAGTGCTTCCGGGTGCTTGCCAGTTCTGAATGACTGCTTGCCATGTTCTTACAAGAAAGAATCTCTTCTCCGAATCGAATCTACGCATATCGAATTCAGTAAAGACTTGAATAGATGCCTTCCTTCAAATAGAGTTCATCCTGTTGATGGTCTTTACTACACTAAGGCTAGATCCGGACTAATCCTAGCCTATTCTTATGAAGGAAGGTGATCATGAAGCAACGGCTAGATCCTCACAGTAGGCAGCTTAGCTGTGATTATGAAGTCATGTGAGAAGCGTTATGCAATAGAGAAGTCAGCTAGTGCACATAGACAGGTAGTTGATTTCATTAGGGAATTGAATTGCAGGAAGGTCAGGTAGTCCTTAGGCCGTTGAGCGAAACTCTTGGCATCCTCCTCTTATGAGGGGATAGGAGTGAAAGAATCATTATAAAACTACGAGGTCGCCCCCACTTCTTAGAGCTCTCTTGCTACCTTATAATAGGTTCCTTAGACTATAGGCAGAAAGGCCGAGGCAGAGCCAGCAATTCTCTAAAAGCAAGGACGATTAGCTACGTTCCAATGAAGCACATTCCAACAATTACCTAGCCCGGTAGGTGGAGGAAAAAGGCGGAGAACATTCTTTAATCAAAGGCGCCAATACCCATATCAGGATTAGACCCATTTCGATCGAGCGGCAACCGCTGCTGCGGTATGGTCCAGAGTTTAAACTGGCTAACATAGGGCAAGGGTCCTGATGGGCAAGTATAAATAGAAGAATCAGCTCCTCTCACTGCCCTGTATAGGGTTCTGGGCCTCGTATTTCAAAGAAGGACTATTACTAAGGGCTAGCGACTCTCCTAGTAGCGAAGGAAAGGGGCATTCGGGAAGCGACTAGTCGCTTCTAGCGAAGCTTCTAGAAGGCCGACCACTACATAGAGAGATCCATATACCAGTCATGAGCGATAGCGAAGCCTAGAGAGGACTCGCTTTCTTTTTGGTAGACTGATAAAAATCACTAATCAATAAATTGCGTTTGTAAGATCAAGCTCAGCTCGTGGATCTTTGATTCTTTTAGACAAGTCGTTGGTCTTTTCGATTTTCCTTTGACCTAGTATGAATAGTAAATGGGTATAGTCCCGGTTGATGCTGCTGACATAGATGTAGATGGGGCGCCTTGATTAAGAGGTTGAGGGGGCCTCCGATCCTCTTTCGTGTGCAACGGTTAAGAGTGGAAAACCGCTCCTCTAACTTGAGTGGCTTGACGCTCCTATGACAGTCCTAGTTGGAACTCGTACCCCCCCTCGCTATCTATCGTCAGTTATTGTCCCAGGCGAGGAACTGCTTGTATCAGACCTGATTCTCGCGCAACAAGATCTTTTGTGAGTGCCCTTCCTTTGGGGCTTGAGGCTCATCTCACGATGTTCGTCTTGTCTGATTGTTTTTGTCTTGGTTGGTACGCTCCCCCTTGTGAAAGAAGTCCTCTATCTGCACACTAACCTGGGAGACTTTCACCCAGTTTTTCCCTTGATGCTTCTAAGCCGCTTTGAATTGACCTGTGCCCGTTGATGAATCATCAATCCATTCAGCCGTCACGTCAGCCGAGAAGACGGACTTGCTGGTATCGTCAAATAGAGTATAGAATCCTTCTTCCGCTCTAGTGGCGGGTTTATCTTTTCATTAAGTAGCCCCTCATTAACCTCGTACACTGAGTCAAGCAACTTCTCCTTTTCTATCATGAAGAGGAAGTGAGATGATGACAATGCGGCTGGGAAAAATCCATATCAATCCATTTCTTCTATAAGAGAATTGGATCCCGACCCAGACCTAAGAAATGAAATTAGATGCCGATTTCATTCCAGTAGTACCCGTTGCTTCTTTTGTTGGGTTGGTTGGAGTGCTTTAATCAGACTTGACCGAGTAGATCATGTTAGGATCTTCACCATGAATGATCCTCCGGGCGAAGCATCTCATGGCACACCATTGATCAATAAGACAGGAGAAATAGAATAGACAGGGATAACCCCCATTCCTATCAGCGTGAAATGACATTCATTCAATCAGTCCTCTCCTCCGCTCTCTCTGTCCCTGGTTTCTACTTTCACATACCTTCTGGCCTCAGTCGTTGACTTTGCCCCTTTCGCTCCTCCATTTAACAAACAATTTAGTGGTTGTTCGCTCCTGAACGAAGCTATTGGGACAGCGGCTTTGATAGCGCTTTCTCAATGAGAGAGATCATATCGTGGTAGAGCTCCTATCCATGCTTTGACAAATCCCTCTCTGGCGTCATCTATTGGCTGACTGCACACTGCCTTCTGCCTGACTATGGCTTTTAGAAAGCAAGATCCCTCCGTTTATCACTCTATAGAAAGAACATCCCATACAGAGTCTTTCAACTAACAACTAAGCTATTCGAGCCTTCACCTAAACTCTTATCGATAGAGCCCCTGTCTCTTTGATTCTTGTATACAAGTCTGGTAGTCAATTGTTCTAGCAAGGATGGGCTAGTTGCCTACTCTCGCCTAACCCGCCCCTTTGACTGATGATCAATATGACAAAAGTAATCTATCTTGATCCTTATATGACGCAATTCATAGATTTGGGCAAGTCAGAGTGAAATCAAAGTCAAGTTATTGGCGATCATACCTACTCAATGAGAATGCTCTCAAGTCCAGTCAATGTCTTTTTGATGATACGATTCTCAGGTGCAAACTCAAATAAGGAGGGGGCCCCACCAGTCATAGTGTTCACTCTTCCCCATAAGAATAAGAACAAAATTCCTGGGGTTTTTTATTCCTTAGTAGCTTTGACAACATTCGTCTCTGTGTGAGCCCTCATCTCATGCTCCTACTACCTCTTAACTTCAAGTGGGAGTGATGGACGAGTGAAGATCGCCAGCTCTTTCTTCCCCGTGAATTGACTTCAACTGAAATCGGGCGGACCGACTTCTCCCTTTAAGCATAGCATGCTTTTGGGGAGTAAGTCACTTAATATAGTATATTATGTGAGAATCGATTCTTACATCACATCAAAATAGCATGTCTATTTACTTATCTACAGGCAGTTCCTCTTTTTTACCTTCCATTCATTTTGAAAGAGAAGGTTTCCTCTCACCTAAAGAATGGATCAGAGAACGACGGCCTACGCATTGCAGCCACAACATTACTGGGCAAACTAGTATAGATTTCGGAAACTCCGGATCCCCCTAGTTGAAGACTATCGCCCACAATTAGAACCATCTAAAATAACGTCTATGATGGATCCATTACGAATGTCTCGTCCCAGAAGACCATCACTCAGGTTTCACTGATCGAACAACGCGGTTATTTCGCGGACCTTTCTGTTCCTAGTTAAAGTGTAGGCCTTTTGAACTTAAGCTGGGATTTCGAGATGGCGATTTATCGTATAGAAGAATGGTCCTCATAGAAGGAAAGAGTGAAAGTCTCATTTTGACACTAGCGAGATACCTAATTTCTAATGGATCTCTCAGTCTACGAAGGAAAAAGTGAGAACGTTAAAATGCCTTTCTAATAGAAAGTTTCTACATGCTATCTGGAGCTATAGGTAGAGGAATTTGATCGATTGGCTTTCAAGCTGAACTATGTAATTAAGAAGTGTAATGCCAAACTGATTAGCTAAGAGAAGCCCTGGAGTAAGGCTTTAGCCTCAGCCTCCTATTGCCCTGACCAAAGTTGCATGAGAATGCTAAAACAATTAAACCGACTCTCTAATGCAGCCACCTACTGCACTATTTAAGTCAATAGCAGAACCATCCACATTTAGTTTAAGGCCTGTAATATGAGGAATCTGAGCCATTTCCCTCTTTGGGGAATGGCGGGCAGAATGATTATCAAGGCTTGAATGCATGTCTGATCATGAAGACTGAGAGAGTAAGAAGCCTTAAGAGATCTGAGCACCACTTCAAAACACTTAGGATCATTTTTGTTTTTCTTTGAAGGATCTTCACACAGGGAAAGAGCTCCTAAGTGCTAAGTCCGACAGTGCTCTCCACCCTGGATAAAGGTCTATGAGGTGTGGGATGTCTTCCCTTCCTGAGTTAGTGCCAAAAGAATAGTAAGCAATGATCATGTTGCCAGCATGCTATGCTACTAGTCGATTATCTTACTAAGCTAAGAACTGGATCTCCATCCAAGAAAGTCAATAGATATTTTTTATGGCTTTCAGTGCCCCTAGCACGAGATCATCGAACTGCACTTGAATTAAGAGGTTCACTTCACTGCTGGTATGCTTTAGGACTCTTCACTGAATGACGACTGACTAGCGGATTCAGGGAACGAAGATGGCCCTCTACCTACATCTATACTGGACTCCTGACTGTTAAGAAACTTTTTCTTTTTTCGATTTGAGTTCTTTTTAGAAGAGAGAAAGAGTAGAAACAAAGGGTACGCTCTCTAGAAGATTTGCTCGGAGCTGTTCACTTTCACTCGGTCGACTGGTATCTTGAAACCTCTTCGCTTGCGGGGGCGGAGGAGTGGAAACGTCTGAGAGAGCGCTTCGCGAAAGAATCGTGTGGCGCGGTGAAGGGTTCCCGTTGGGGTTTCCGGCTCTCCTGGTCTCCACCTACTTGTGGAAGAGGGGGGTGAGTTGATATTAAGGTGTCAAGGCGCTCGAAGAAGGCCACAAGTGGAAGCAACCGATGCTTTGGTCATTCAGTTGACTCCTTGCTGCCAGTCCGTGCTTGCTGTCATGCTGGCAAAAGCGGGGCTTTCGGTCGGTTTTACCTACTATTGGATTTGAACCAATGACTCTCGCCGTATGAAAGCGATACTCTAACCGCTGAGTCAAGTAGGTCAAGTTGAGTCAAGTCAGAGAAAATAGACCCCTATAAGTATAAGAGAAAGCCGCGCAACCAAATTTCCCCTTACTATACAAGGGGGGGCGGAGCGCTAAGAAAGAGAAAGCGTTATCACTATACGAAATGAAGCAGCGGCTAGCATGCTAAGCTAAGATCAACCACTTGGAGAACGCGGAGCCTTTCTTTCTCGGTCGTCTGTCTTAAGAAGTTAAGCGGATTCCGATTCATGTGGTCGTTCTCTGCTGCATTGTTGTTTTCACTCCCCACTCTCCACCAGAACAAAATGTTTCCACTATATCTCAGGAGTAGTCAAAGGAAGTACGGCGGGTCCGAGTAGGAAAAAATGAACTAAGAAGTAAGGCATAGAACAATAGATCAATTCATTCAACAAGATCCGTTCGGATCAGACCAGGATGAATGGGATTGGTTTGACCTCTAGCTCGGAATTCACCCGCCGCCGACAGATGTCCCATGCCACGTTTCGTGAACAGCTATGCCCGAGAATGAATGAATTGTGATATAGCGCCGAATAAGTCACAGCTCTATTCCCGACTTGAAATCCATAAAGGACTTTAAGGGAGAGAAAATGGGGGCCCTAAAATGCCTCGGGACGACTGCACGTTACATCATAGCAGCACGACCAAATGGAGGCGGAAAGCCGGTTGGGCGCTAGCGCTTTATATTATACTAATATAATATGAATTCAATTAAGTTAAGGGCTTTTCCCTTATTAGTAAAGTTGCTCAAGGCCGGAAAATGAGAATACAATCTAGAAGATCTGGTCGAATGGTAGAAGAATCTATGGATTCGTTAGGAATTGATAGTCGTTAGCTGGACATACGAGTCACAACCGGCCGGGAAGAGGAGGGATCAACGACGGAGCTACTAGCTACTAGTTGTAAAGGAAAGGATAAGACCACCTTTCGTACATTTCTACTGGTCCAGACATTCGAATAGCGAACGAAAGACCAGGAGATTGGATCTAGAAAGCACTTCCAGCAGGGTTGACGGCTGTGTGGTCCTCATTCAGCTGGAAGTAGGAAAGAAATCCCGGCACGACCGATGACTTAGTCTCCTTCTCCGCTTCGACTCAACCACCTACCTAACCTCTTAGAAAAGATCCGATAGATAGCAGCTACCTAACTTTTAAGCCCTTCACCAATCAAGGTCTTTCATCTAGTAAGTCCTAGTACTATGTTCTCCAAGCTTGACTAATAGAGTAGGCAGGCCCTTTAGAGAGCAGTAGAATGTTGGGTTAGCTCTGCCTTTAAGTGATAGGGGTGAGGGGAACTGCTCAGAAATGTCTTAGTTGGTTGAGGAGTGACCGATCCGGTCAGTCAAAAAATAGTAAAAAAAAGAAAGTCTGTCTGGTCTGGTGTAGCTAATGTGACTTTCTCGATCTATAGTTCTTCTTCTTTCTCTCTCTTGACCAATGCTCTGGCTTCCCTCACTCAAAAAATCAGCCGTTGTGACACAGGTGTCTCGAGGTAGGCCGTGGATTGAATAGAGAAAGAAGGGCTAGAAGGCATCCATAGGAAGAAGAGGACGGAAGAGTAGTGCATCCGTGTCTACTCACTCCGGTGGGATTCCAAGATGAAAAGGGATCAATCCAATTATAGCTGTCAGCTAGATAGACGAAACGAGGGCATATCCAGACGTTTCAGTGGTTTCCATTTCGATGGTGACATTAACATCCTTTACCATCTTAGTAGAATCTTAACTCAACTCGGGAGAGGAAGAATCCACTCCCTGAGAAAGAAGGAAGTGCTTGCGCCTTAGGAATCTTGCGCTAAGGCTTGAACTTGCTGCATTCTAGTTTCCAGGAGTGCACTGGAGTTTGATCTTTCAGTCGTTCATTCTTCAAGGCATAATCTTTCGTGACAAGCGGAAGACGGAGGAGCAGGCAAGAAGAGCAAGTATAGTGAAAGTATCCTCATGGGCCAAACAAAAAGAGGTTGAGCCCCAACGTCAAATTAATGCATTGATTCAAGGGGTACCCGTGCAAACATCGTCTATCTCTCTGGTCAAGTGGCTCCGCTCTTAGGGAGAGAATCTACGGATTCTGTGAGAGGGGATTCCCTATCTATGATTGAGCTCTCGCTCTTACTCTTTCTATCAGTCGTGTTTTTTCTTTTCTCTCTGACCGTCAACTTGCTTGATTTACTAACCTCGTGTTCTCATCCACTTTAAGGTCAGGTCGAAGCAAAGCGTTTTCCTTCCTCTTCCTATCGGAAAACAAGAACCCGCCAGCTAACTTCTCTCTAGTGGGCTTCACTTGTACGCTATCCTTCCTGACCTTACCTCAACTCTACTCTCCAAGCTCACTGCTCGACGCTCGCCTGACATATCGGTCTGAAGTTTCTTTGATCACTTAGGACAGACAATCTTTCTAAAAAAGAAAAATCTCGTAATATAGTTCAAGAAAGTGGCTGTGACGTGAATTGCATTGTGCTCGCCGGTCATTATGGATCTAGTGGCATGGCGGGGCAAAAGAAAAAAAGGGGGGGGGGGGGAAGCAACTACGAAGCTTCGTAGACTCGACAAGTCGCTCCGCTTATAGAATATAATGAAGCAAGCTAGCGACTCTCCTAGTAGCGAAGGAAAGGGGCATTCGGGAAGCGACTAGTCGCTTCTGGCGAAGCTTCTAGAAGGCCGACCACTACATAGAGAGATCCATATACCAGTCATGAGCGATAGCGAAGCCTAGAGAGGCGCAGGGCAGGATCCAAGAGCTTAGAAAGGGTCAGGAAAGGAGCAGAGAAGGGGTTGGATTTCACCTATGATCAGATCAGTGGGCAACCATAGTTTACTTTTTTCGTAGTGTTGTTAACGTTGTTGAAAGCTCATTACTTATTTAAGTAGGCCTCGCTTTTCGAAGCTGCTCCCAGCTCACACTATGGTGGAGGAGGTGCCGTGAAGATCTAGGAGTGTGAGCAGTACGAGCTGAAAGGCTCCCATACTATTTGGAGGGCAAGGGGCATAGATGCCAAACAAACCTGACCCCTATCTATCGTCGTAGAAGCTGTTCCTAGGAAAGATTATGGTTCTCGGGTATCCAATCAATTAATCCTCCCCCGCTTCTCTTTGTCTTCGAGCTTGAATTCTTCAATCCACTGATTCGTTCCTTCATATAGCTCCCCACCAATAGATAGAGACAAATGGGAATAACCGAACCACGTCTACAAAATGCCAGTACCATGCAGCTGCTTCAAAGCCAACGTGATGCTCCTTGGTCAGATGACCAAGATATTGGCGAATACCACATATGATCGAGAAAAGAGTACCTATAATCACATGAAAACCATGAAAGCCAGTTGCTAAGAAAAAGGTAGAACCATAAATACTATCCGAAATTGTGGGGGCGCTTGATAATATTCCATTCCTTGAAAGGCGGTGAATACTAGAGCCAGTGAAACGGTAGCTACTAAAGCGTAAACTGCTCGTTTTTCCTTCCCCGCGAGTATAGCATGATGAGCCCAAGTTACGGTAGCTCCGGATGAAAGGGGAATAAGAGTATTAAGAAAAGGGAACTTACTTCCTATCTCTACCCTTGATCC